CTGATATATTTCCATATACAATTATCTAAATAATTAAATTTTTAAAGGCATATTTTTTTTTTTAATTTTAAAGTTTCGGAATATTTGTTCCGATTATGACATTTTCGTTTAAAAAAATAGTTATCTGATTCACTATATCACCGACGTCGAATCTCTCTTATCATCAGCAGATGGCAGCACAATAGTAGTCATTTATAACTTCTGAATAATATGAATGTGTTGATTTATGCTTATCTGTACTAAGAAGTTTATTACATACAATTTTATTTCAAATTTTAAAAAAAAATTTCTTCTCAATGGTTTAAGTTATCGATAATATGTTCGGACATATGGGGCATTTATACAATGGTTTAAGTTATCGATAATATGTTATGAAGGGGGAGAAAAAAAAGATTAAAAATACGCGAATAAGGATGATAATGATGTTAGCATAATCCCCTTGATCATAGTGTAAAATAAAAGTATTAAATAATTGTGTGAAATAAAAATATTTTTAATTGAATTTCAGTTATATTTCTATGGTTGCTTGAGGCTTTATGATATCCATAATAATAAAATATCTAAATTCATAATAATAAAGCTCGGATCCTTTTGCTCATCAATACAAGTCAGTTAGGAAAACGAAACTAAACATATTTTTTATTTGACCAGTAAAAGAGAGATTCAAATTTAATTACTCGATGCAATCTTTTTTTCTTCTTCTTTTAATAGAAATTTTTTATAAAAAAATAGCAACGAAAATTGAAAACAAACGCTGTTAATACGGCTATAAATCTACCGCCTGTAACTGCCGGTCAAGTAACCCGCAGTTAAGAAACCGACGGTCAAAAAATAATGGTGGAATCGCTTTTGAACTCTCGGTCAAAGTTTCCAAACCGGGGGTTTTGGAACTGGGAGTTACGCGTTAGGTCAGAGTCAACGGTGAATACGGGGCAAACATCTGCACCAAATCCAAAAAAGGTCAAATAAGGAAACACGCGAAACAAAAACTTTAACAAAACAAATAGGTAGATTAAAAAGTATTAAAAATATTGGTGTGAGACTGTTATTAGGAGAGCTTCTCATATTCAAGATACAACCTCGTGTTGCAGTCATAGCGCCATGCTATCAATGATTTATTTCTAAAATTGAAAATTAAATTAGAAAAAAAGAGTTTTTTCAAAAAAAAACAGACAAACCTCTTCTCATTTTTAAAGCTAACCCATTTCTACGATACAATATCAAATGATATAAAGTTAAGTGATATAAAATTAAATGCAAAAAAAAAAAACATAATTTTTTATCTATTTAAAATAGCTTTATCATTCATAATTGTTTAATTTGTTTTTACACATAATTATATCAGTTGGGATCATTTTTATAGACGCTAATTCATCAATACGACTTTTCACGACGCCAATAAGAGTGGTGTTTCCGCACCAAGAAAATTACACTTAATAAAATTAAAAACATTTGCGAAAAATTATGCACCATTCGATAACAATTTTGAAGTCTATGGACGTAACCTCTAAGAACGACCATTTTACTGTGGAATGGAAGAGTGGTCGCTCCCGGAAGGTTTGTATACCATACTTCCTTTTAAAAAAAAACTGATTGTAGAATTGTACCATAATAATTTCGTCAGAAAAAAAATCAATGGAGAACCCATGATACCATGGTCTGTCTTATTTTATGTCTCATCTCCGTCGTTTAATAGCTGACCCAATTTTGGCAACTAACGTTCACCTCCGTAGTCCAGTAATTTTGAACCAATCCAGAAGACAAGGAAACTCCTAGATCAGTAGGGGAGAGTGGGGTCAATTGTAACAGGGTACGATTGTAACAGAGCAAAAATTTCGAGTGTCGGGTTCTAGATTTGGTTCCTAGGTGGCGCATAAGGTGTATTTAGTAAATCTACATAAGCACCCCTGCTGGCAACCATTTTTATGTACTTTTGAAGGAGTTACATCACAAAAGATATTTTCACGCTAAACATTTGCGAATATTATATTGTAACAAAGTAATTTTGTTTAAACAAATAAAAATTATTAACCGAATATGTAAGTGGACACCTTAATTAACATTTCAAAAAAAAAAAGATTAGTTTTGCTAATTAACTAGCATTGTTTTTAACAAATGAAGCTGAAATGGCGTCTTGGGGACAATTGTAACAATAAGTAAAGGGACGATTGTAACAGCTGAAAATAAATAATCTTATGTTTACAAACCATTACTTAACTCTTTAAGAACCACCAATAGTTTCCTATATCATTTATATTGTGTTGTATGTGCATTATTTTATTTGTCACCTTTCACAGCATAAATTAAAATTTTTAACCCCTTAAAGTTAAAGGTTTAACCCTTTAGGTCTCTGCTTATTATTATTTTTACTCCTAATATATCACTACTATTTTGATCAATAAAAAAATATATCGCAACTATGATAATATGTAATAATTAACTATGTTTTAGTTGAATTTATGAACTGTTACAATTGACCCCGTAAGTTTAATTTATAAAATTAATGAGCAATATGTCAAAAATTGTTAATAACTAATATAATAACATTTAAAATCAGGTATTTATTTTTTTTTCTAGTAGAGGATAGTCTACTTAACTCGTCTATCAATTAATACTAATAATATTTTGGATTTTTTGTTAGTTAAAAATAGTTAAGTAAAAATTGTTACAATTTACCCCACTCTCCCCTACCCCCAGAGGTATTTTATTTTATATTTTATAACCGTCGCTAACCGGCCTATCCTATTTTTGAGTTTGCGAGTACTAATATTCACCTCCGTAGCTTTGTAATTTTGAACCCAATCCTGCTTTACAAGGAGTGGAAAAGCACGGAAACCTTCCACAGTTACCTTGAAGGCAAGGGGACTCTTACCCATGATTCGTCGATCACTGAGGATATTTCACTTCAGCACTTCGGTCGGTGCGAGCCGGATGCGAAATTCGCTTCGACCAGCCATAGCCAGGATTCGAACCCCAGTTCACCTCATTGGAAGGTGAACGCTCTATCCCCTGAGCCATCGCGTCTCCACTAGAGGTATTGATTTGTTGTGGGCGCATGGAGGACTTTGCGATGCGACAGATTTAATGTGCATCGGTTACCATTATTGTGCTGTCTTGATTGTTTCGACATTTTTCTGGGTAAAAACCAACAGTTAGTTGGAAATCAAATAAAGCTATCAAAATAAAATATAAGCTACTTGCCAAAACATTAAGTTTTTGTCATTTTTTCCTTCACAAAAAATGCCTATCTGAAAGTTTAGGTACTTTCTTGAAATTTGAATTCACAGTTATTCTGATTGAACTCACTACGCAACAGTCTTTGCAGAAATGGGCAACTCATCGAATGCAATACGTTGAACACGCATTACATCGTCATTTTTGATCCGATAACCTTATAAAGCAATAAATTGTTCTCCCGGTCAAATGACCAGTTATGGTAAAAATAGGAATACGACATGTATTATTCGAAACAAACAAAATATTAAAAAAAATAATAATATTAGAATATTAACTGTATATGATTGTTAGAATAAGTCATGAAGTCAAATGTGCAAAAACGATAAGATGATAAGCCCATTTTCGATACTAAAGTTCTTAAACGGTCATTTGACCGATTATGGTAGGTTTAGTGTGAAGAAATACTGCTAAAGATTTTGAACCTCTCTCTTGCCCTCATAAAATTATTAAAATTTTATGAGGTGAAAAAAAATTTTAAATTTTAATATTACTTAAATATTTTTACCTTTTCTATTTCGAACAAAACTACTAAATATAATATTTCAATAATATAATTTTAATAAGGACGCGTTAGATAATTTTTTTCATACAAATTTTGCTTAAATATATTAAAATATTAATAACATTTGCTTCTAATTTACTTATTATTCGTATAATTTGTTTATGCATAAACGTGGTGTTTTTAAGATTTCATATCATTAAAATNTGTCTTGATTGTTTAGACATTTTTCTGGGTAAAAACCAACAGTTAGTTGGAAGTTAAGTAAAGCTATCAAAATAAAATATAAGCTACTTGCCAAAACATTAAGTTTTTGTCATTTTTTCCTTCACGAAAAATGCCCATCTGAAAGTTTAGGTACTTTCTTGAAATTTGAATTCACAGTTATTCTGATGGAACTAACTACGCGACAGTCTTTGCAGAAATGTGCTCAACTAATAGAATGCAGTACGTTGAACATGCCTTACATCGTCATTTCTGATTCGATAACCTTATAAGGCATCAAATTGTTCTCCCGGTCAAATGACCAGTTATGGTAGAAATAGGAATACGACATGTATTATTCGAAACAAACAAAATATAAAAAAAATATAATAATATTAGAATATTAACTGTATATGATTGTTAGAATAAGTCATGAAGTCAAATGTGCAAAAACGATAAGATGATAAGCGCATTTTCGATACAAAAGTTCTTAAACGGTCATTTGATCGGCTATGGTAGGTTTAGTGTGAAGAAATACTGCTAAAGATTTTAAACCTCTCTCTTGCCCTCATAAAATTATTAAAATTTTATGAGGTGAAAAAAAATTTTAAATTTTAATATTACTTAAATATTTTTACCTTTTCTATTTCAAACAAAACTACTAAATATAATATTTCAATAATATAATTTTAATAAGGACGCGTTAGATCATTTTTTTCATACAAATTCTGCTTAAATATATTAAAGTATTAATAACATTTGCTTCTAATTTACTTATTATTCGTATAATTTGTTTATGCATAAACGTGGTGTTTTTAAGATTTCATATCATTAAAATACTAACTTGCAAAAAAATCCCGAAGAGGAAGAAAAACTTTTGTAAGTTATATACTTAGAGGTTAAACAACTTTTTCAACAAATAAGACTTCAGCATTAGATAATATTCAGTAACTTAATAAAAATATATCCAGCCTTTTTTTCTGTAACAATTATAATTTTTGTGTAATGATTAGTAATAGGAATGCATTTGAGTTAAACCAAATCTCCAGAAGAGAAATACCTGAGACATTCTATTTTGGATAGTTTTTTTCCGGGAGGTTTCGTAGTTGGTAGAACATCTCTTAATCTGTCGAATCCTTTATTCATCTCTTGCATGCGACTTCTTTCTCGAATGCAGGCACTTCTCTTTTGTTCTTCCCTGGACATTCCACCGCCATTATTCCTTCCACGATCTAAAATCGAATGAGTCATAGTTATTGAACATTAGAAAGAAAAAAAACATTTTATAGATCGCTAATAATGAGTCCACTAAACTAATGATTAAGAAGAAAAACTTGAACAAGCTATATTCGAAAAATATGTAAGCTGCCTCAAAAGTTTAAAAGTTTGCAGTTTCAATCATCAAATTGGGAATGTTTATGACTTCGAAGTTTCGAATGTTTTCGAAGTTTGTTTAATCCATTCAAAGTTTTTGAATTTTTCTTTATTATCATGATTCATGGCTTATAACCGTGGTCGAGCAGCCGACCCAAATTTTCAGTTTACGGCTAGAATTGTTCAACTCCGTAGGCTCGTAATTTTGAACCTAACCCAGAAGACAAGGGAACTCCTGGATCAACTACTTGATGAAATTTGCCTTCTTGGAGGACTTTTTGAAGAACCTAACCAGCATTTGCGTTACATAGAAAGGAAAACCATGAAAACCTCCCACAGTTAGCCTGGAGGTAAAGAGGACTATATCAAATGATCCGTCTACCACTGAGGATATTTTACATCAGCATTGTGGTCGGCGTGTGCCGGATGCAGAATTCGTATCGACCAGCCATCGCTGGGATTTGAACCCGGTTCACCTCATTGGAATGCGAAAGCTGTACCTCCTGAGCCATCACGATACAAGTTTCAAAAATTTTATTATTATGCAAGACATATTCAATCAGTAATATCGTTAAATACTAATTTAGCTCTTTTCAAATTTTTACGAAATTCACCAAGATGTCGGACGGGGCGAATAAACAACATCAAAATGGAAGGAGAAAAAAGAACAAATATTTTATATTTGATTGAACTAAAATAGTATTAATTTAACTGTATAACTAGGAATTTATTTTTATTTTTTGAAAAAAAAACTTAGTTTATTCTTTTTTAAAACATTTAGTCATGCTTCATTATCATTTTCAACATTGGCATGGCAGTTCGAGATGGGTCTTGGCCTTCTCTAGAATTCTCCATTACTTTCTCGTTTTAGCAAATTCAATGCACTGATTGTTTCAAAATCTGTATTGTTTTGCTCGATGGATGCTTTTGAGCCGTGGTAGCTCAAGGGATAGAGCATTCGCCTCCAATGAAAAGGCTGGTCGATACGAATTCCGCACCCAACTCGCACTGACCATAGTGCTGACGTGAAATATCCTCAGTGGTTGACGGATCATGGCTTAGAATCCCCTTGTTGCCTGGCTAACAGTGCAAGGTTTTCGTAGTTCTACTTTCTATGTGACGCAAATGCGAGTTAGTTCCATCAAAAATTCCTCAACGTGGGGAAATTTCACTCCATACTTGATCCAGGAGTTCCCTTGTCTTCTGAATTGGGTTCAAATTTACAAGGTTAAGAACATTAGTGCTAGCAAACCAAAAGATTGGGTCGGCAGATCTACGGCGGTTATAAAATTAAATAAAATCTGTATTAATGTAGTCCAGCCATCGAGGTTTAGGACATCCTCTACCCTCTACTACCAAATGATTTGTGCGAGTTTGAATATTTTATGTGTTAGGCTAGATATATTTAAACGGCAAATGTGTCCTTTAAATTCCATCCTGCTTAACTTAATATATTTAATATGCAAATAACATAAGTGTGCGGAATAACTTTCCCTGTGTATTCTTATCATCAATGAAATACCAACCAACTTCTCAATCTAGACAAATCGACAAGGAAATTCGTATATTTTCAAAGAGAATTGAAATTTGTTTGTATTTATACCCACAGTATATAGTGTTGTTCATATTGTAGATTAAAAAAAAATTCTTAGAAAATCTTCAATAAAGTTCAACGGTTAATGGTTCCAAACTTCAGACGAAAACATTAAACCGAACCTAAAATTAAATACTGTCAATGGTTGATATATTATATAGAATCGTAGATCCTTAAAACGAAAATGAGCCTTATAAAGTGAGAACAGCATATCGTGAGTGCACAAAAAATAGTATAAATATTAATTCATATTTAAAAAATACTGAGCTAGTTTTGCAAAAACAACGATTTATTTAAGAAGAATTAACGAATTGAGATTTTTTCCAGTTTTACTTCCTTCCTTTTACATGCTAATACTGTAAACGAGCATGCACAATTTCAATATTGGTTTAAAAAAATTTATAAATAGGCTAGTGGTCAGCTATTTTTGCTGTGTAACACATGTCCAGAAAAATGCAAAATCTACACAAAGAAAAAAAAATCCAGAAGGTTATTAATATCACACGATTTAACTCAGAAATAGACTAATCAGAAAGAAGAAACATTTTACAAAAAGGGGCAAATAAAATTGTGTAACAGAAAAATTTGATTGATCACACCCTTAAAAAAGAAATTTACTAGGATTTGAGATGCATCTTTTACAATCTTAATGGTAACGTGCACAAGACACTACACTAATATCAGTACTATGAAGCAATAACTCTTTTGGGTATAAATACTAACTAAATAATTGTTTTTCGCTCACGCTAAAAATTAATTGTTATTTTTTATTTGTTATTATTTACTGTTATTTATTTGTTGTTATTTATTTGTAATTATTTAATAGTTATTATTTATTTGGTATTATTTAATTGTTATTACTTAATTGTTACCATTTAATTGTTAATATTTAATTGTTATCACTTTATTATTATTTAATTTTTATCACTTAATTATTATTATTTAATTGTTGAGAAACTTCAGGATATAGTTGACTGTAGGAAAAACATGGATTTCTTAGATTAATAACAATTGTTATTCGCCTACGGTAAAAATTAATTGTTATTATTTAATCATTATTTAATTGTTGAAGAGCCTCGGGATAATGTTGACGATAGGAAAAACATGGATTTCGTAGATTAATAATAACTGTTATTCGCTTACGGTAAAAACTCATTGTTATTTATTATTGCCTAATTATTATTATTTAATTGNAGTTGAACATTAGCCTCGGGATAATGTTGACGATAGGAAAAACATGGATTTCGTAGATTAATAATAACTATTATTCACTTACGGTAAAAACTCATTGTTATTTGTTATTGCTTAATTATTATTATTTAATTGTTCTTATATAATAGTTAATATTTAATCGTTCTTATTCAATTTTTATTATTTAATTGTTGAAGAACATAGGGATATAGTTGACTATAGGAAAAGCATAGACTTCATAGATCAAGTGCAACAACTTCCAATAATTGTCCACGTAAATTTTTGATACACATGCATGACAAAACTCAATCGATTCCACTGCCGTTTTTTGCAGAGAATCTACTAGCTCAGTACAAAATGAAATTTTCGCACGTGATGCAATATCTCTTTTGATTAGTAATTATGCAAATTAATCGACATTTCATCAACTATTTGATCATAAGTAATTAAGATAAAAATTTATTTGCCTCTGAGTTTAATTAATTTTAATTTACTTACTTTGTTTTTAACTTTTACATTTTTTCCCTGTAGGAAGCATTATTCTTCGAAAATGCAAGATAAATTTTTGAAGTAACTTTCTCGGGAATGAAAAAAAAAAAAAAACATAAATAAACTAAATTTTAGTCAGTATATTGTATTAAACGGTTCAGTTTATGAACTGTATGCAGACACTTTAAAAAAAAAAACTTTAGGTAGGTAGTAACTTTCTTTACGTCGCACTAGAATTGCACAATGAGCTACTGCCGACGGTCTGGGAAACATCCTTGAGGATATTCTGGAGACATGCCATCACAATTTTGATCCTCTGCCGAGGGGACGACTCCCTTGTTTTGATAGCCCAACGACTTGAGCGAGAAGTCGAGTACTTTACGTTAGAAAAGTTTAACGAGGACCGATACCGCGCAATCCGGTCCTTACGCAAGCTGATCAAAGTGGTCACCCACCCGCTTACTGACCGCAGACAGTGATGGCTTGACTTCGGGTATTTTACTAGGAACCGTGTCTTTACGATCAGTCCACAGCGGGACTAAAAAAAACTTTACAACTACGGAATAGCAAACTTACCTTAAGGAATCAGGTCGCTTTTGTGGAAGAATCCCTTTAATGGTGTTGGGATATTGAAATTGCGAAAAAAAAATAACTGACTTTTACAGAATAACAAAGAGTTCAAATGTAGCTAAATTTCGACATACGCTAATGCTTAAAAAAACGGAATAAACTATTAATCTCAAGTTATTAAAATGCCAGGCAAAACTAACCTCTGTTCCTTTTTTTCAAAATGGACAAGTACTTCATTCCTTTCAGGATCGGCTTGCTTCGTCTGCGATTCTGTAAGTGTTGAACGGTTCTCGAAGCAAATCGAACCACTGATGGACTCGGCATATTTTTCTAAATCAAATACTCTAATGTCGGTCTTTATTATTATATGTATTTTTCATCTAAAAATCTCTCGATGTTAGGTGCAATCTGACTGTCCCAGCTGCCGTTGCCACCTGTTGATCCCCCCCCCTCTCGCATACGTTTTCAACGAATTCTATAATGATATCAATCTGGTATGAATATACTAAACACATTTTTTACCAGTCTGTAAATTTAGTCAAACAATTTATACAATCTGTGGCAAGTGTTAGCGAATTTTATTGTGTAAACAACTAATATGTCCCTTGGCAAGTAAACTCAGTGTTTTTTTTTAATAGTTGGTAGAGAATGGAAGAGGGTATGAACTGGTTTATAGAATAGCGCCTCATTTTCTTTAAAGGTCGTATAGTTTTTAACTTTTGTGACTTGAGAGCTTCTTTATTTTCTTTTTTGGATTTTATATTTGATTTTCGCTTTCTGTATGTTTTTATTTTTTATTTTTTATGATACAGAACCATTCGAAAGCACAATTAAGTCTAAAAAGAATGAAACATAAAAGCTCTTCTTTATTAGATAGATAGAAAAAGCACTTGGTAATTTTTTTTTTTTTTAGAAATGCAAGGAATTTTTAATTGAAACTTCTAAAGCAAAATAAAACAATATTGTGTGCTTAGTAAGTTTGAAAAGGTAATTGATTTCTGTATATTAGTCTGTTTTTATATTTTATGAAAATTACTTTTATTGTTTTATTAGGCAAAAACTGATTTGGTTGCTGTTTAAAAAAATTTTACAGCCCTAATTACGGAAAAAACAAAGATATTAATCAAGAATAAAAAACAGATAAAGGTATGATACAAAATTACCTTTTAAAAATGTTGATAGTAGAATTGTATTGTAATAATTTTCTCAGAAAAAGTCAATAGAGAATCTACGATACCAAGTGCTGTATTTCTCAAATTCTTACTGGACGATGACATCATATTCTATATTTTTCGAAAGATTTTGCCGGGTTGTATAAATATCCAACATCAGTTTGTGAAAATGAAATAACTGTGTTTAAAATTATGTTTCGAATACCCCCTTCTACCTATTTCCCAGTCGATTAAATATTTATTTTTTTTATCTTAGTTCATAAGAGTATCAAGCAGCAGAAAAATTATTGCACTGTAATTAAACTTAATTCTACTATGATGTTAGATGTAAGAATTTAACTACATGGAAGAATTAAATGCTGTAGCAAATATTGAAGAACTTATACAAAGATAGAAGAACTTGGGGAAGTAATCTTGCAGTAATTTAATTATATTTTGACCTTAAAAATACCAGCATTTTTATCTGTATTATTTATTTTTGGTTTATCAGAACGAATTTTTTCAATATTTCAATTTTGAGCCACAATGACTCAGGTGATAGAGCATTCGCCTTCCAATGAGGGGAACCGGGTTCGAATCTCAGCGACGGCTGGTCGATAGGAATTCCACCTCCTGCTTGCACCGACCACATTGCTAACGTGAAATATTTTCAGTGGTAGATGGATTTAGGGATTAGAGTCCCCTTGCTGCCAGGCTAACCATGGGAGATTTTCGTGGTTTCCTTCTCTATGTAACGCAAATGAGGGGTACATCAAGAAGTACTCCATGAAGGCAAATTTCTTCCAATACTTGATCCAAGAGTTCCCTTGTCTTCTGAGTCGGGTTCAAAATTACAAGGCTACGGAGTTGAACATTAGTAGTTGTGAACTCCAAAAATTAGGTCGGCCGTTCAACGACGATTATAAAATTAAAATAAATACTTCAGTTTTATAATACAGTTAGTAATGTAGTGGAAGGAGAATTTGCAATTAAGCGTTTCTCTTGTGATATAGCCTCCTCGCGCATCACCCCGTTAAGATGGGTGAAACAAAGAATTTTTAAATTTTACAATTGTTTAAAGAGTCATAATCAATCGTTTATTCTTAATTTGGAATTAGAAGAAGAATTAATGAACAATAATATTATTTATTTGTTAGTGAAATAATAATTTCGCCGAACACTTTAAGAATACCTCTTCCCTCTCTGCGATTCAACTCAACTTTTATGGGGGTGGGGGCAATGTTGAAGACTCATATTTTGAAAATGTACTGTGAGCAAAAAATAAATAATTCACTAAAGCAAAACACCTTAAATAACTTATAAAATTGGGTATGCATGTACTAGGACTCAATGGTTCGAAGTATGATCTCAAATATACTAATTATTACAAAATCAGAAAACATACGTGATTTTTTTTTTTTTTTTTTTTTTTTTTTTTTTTTTTTTGCTGCGAATAAGCATACCCCATCGTTTCAAAAATTGACGTTTTTGACCCCCCAAAATTATCGAGGGTAGAAAATCGGAAATATATATGGCCCCAATAATTTGTCATTAGCTTATAGTTTATCACGTAATGATATATCTAATAGTTTATCATATCACGTAAGCCAAAAACAACAAAATTAACTCGCAGCAACGGTTGGTGAGTTTTTCATAGTAGATATATATTTGTAGATATATTTGAAGATATATATTTTATAATATTATATAAAATTGCATAAAATATTTATCCATTGATACTAATCGGTAAATATTTTATTATATAGTCGTATTAGGGCAATTCCATATGTGACGGAATGACATTTTGACTTGCAAAATAACAATTAATTGAAGTTTCTATTCATTTAATTTCAAATAAACATTATTTTTTCTCTTGCATATCATTATTATTGGTATAATGAGATTCATAAACTAAAAAAAAAGGATTTTGTATTTTTTTTATTTTTAACTTTATGAACTTTTTACTTGTGTGACGGAATGACATTTTGACAACCAAGCTTTTGGCATGCCGCTTAGAACTGGTAGCTTCTGTAAATTTTGCAAGTATTATTTTTCTGAACTAGTTATTACTTTTAGTATAATGTGTAAGCAATGTAAAATGTGAATTTCGAAAATTAACCTCAGGTTGGCTAGCAGTTATTAACATCTATTTGCTGTGACGGAATGACCGTGACGGAATGACAAAAAGTTTAGTGGAAGAAAGTCTTCATTTAAAAAATGTTTTATTAATATGTAAATTTTAAACAGAATGTAACAGATAAACAGAATTAATATTTATGTAAGAATCAGTTAAAATTTCAGCAATTTGAAAATTAGGTTGTCTCTGAAGAGGTTTTATATCTAACTTGCCAATGTCTTAACTTCACTTAAAAGTTGACACTTTCGTGGAATTGCTAATTAATAAAGTTTACGAAATCGACCCCCTTTTTAGTTCTATAAAGCAAAACGGTCGAGCCTAAAAAGATAGGAAGCTTTTTTCATAAGGAAATTTATGCATAAGAAACGAGTTACTGAGCACGGGCTACCAAATATGGGGAGCTATCCCCTCGACAGAAAATCAAAATTGTGACGGCATGTCTTCGGATCATCCTCCGGGATATTTCTCTGACCGTCGCCAATAGCCCATTGTGCAGCTCTAGTGCGCCGTAAATAAAGTACCTACCTACAAGTTTTCAATGTAATTTTTAAACATCTTGTGAAAGGTTATAGTAGAACTAAAGTAATGCAAAGTGTGCAAAAAAAAAAATAAGCAAACTACCTTGAACAATTTTTGATCTAATTCCCGTATTTCTATACACTAGGACTTAATGGTTCAAGGGAGGGGGTGACTTAAATTATGTTGATTTAAAAAGTCAGAAACGCAATTCTGCAGAAAATGAAGAATATTTTAAGATATGTTAATTAGTTAGTGCAGGTGATACTTAAAGTTTTGAAATCATATACAAAAATGTACTTTCTCCGAATAAACAGACAAATTTTTCCATGAATATACGATTCTTCACCCGCAAACTAAAGGGGGTTGCTGCAGTTTGGGAAATAAGTCCTCATAGATTGGTCAGGCGAGCGATCGAAATTTTGGACCCTTTAATGCTAAAATTACTTTTTCCGTATTTCTCCGTATCTCTAAAACTTCTTACTCGAATTCAAAAATTTATTACTAGATATTAAAATTATTTATAATTATTTACCAGATTGGCAAAAATTTATTATTACCAAAATATTCGATTTCCGTGAGATATTTGACGATATTTGCCAATCAGAAAATAATACGTTTTTATATAGTATTTCTTTATCTAATGGTTCATTAATAACTTTATTCTCTTGACTAGAATAATTAGGCATGGAAGTGACTAGAATATATAAGTATATAAGTTTTAAATTTGTAACATATTGTTGGAAATATTAATATGATGTGAAAATATTTGTAACAAAATAGTTTAATTCTTTTAGTGAAGCAAATTAATTACATGAATGAATTACGTGAATGGAATAAATGAATTATATGCATCTTATTTTCCAAATGTTAAAGGGTACCTTACTTTTTCCAATTCGACAAATTAATGTATTTCAAAAAATTTCAATAAATTTATATTGATTATTCGGTCTCGTTTGTTGAGCTACGCATAAAATTGATAGTTTTTCAAGCAATAACTAAATTAAATTATCAATAGTACTGTTCAATTTTATACATAAAATTTAATTTAATTTGCTCATAGCAAATTATATCAGATGTCAGTTGTTGAATTTATTACAAATTAGATTTTTAAAAATAAGATTATTTATTAATATTGTATTATATAATTCATATTTTTTTCCTAGCTTCACTTCTTTAAGATCTCTTGTAGTGTTAATGAAATAAAAGTTGCAGTAAATTCTTAAATTCCATAAATACCTAAACCACAACAACGCTTATTAATTAGTTTGCGGAAGTTTAAATTAATCTAGTATAACTACCATCAAGTACGTTTTAAAATCATTGAATAAAAATTTATATATCAAAGCATAACTACCACTTTAAATATAAAATCTTCCGGATGAAATAGGAAAAGTTAGAATCTATCTTTAAAAAAATTTGTATTTGTAGATTGAGAGAAAAAAAAACTGTACGGTATACCGGGCAAATGCACACCGGACAGTGGCAATTAACAAGACCTAATATTTCGGACATTTACCAAAGTGACTATGGGATTGTCAACTTTATAGCTGCAACATGCATAGGAAAAATTCCAGTAAATTTTACGAAATAATATGAATTTTCTGATAATTGCTGCTTTATGTATTA